GTTGAACAGCTCTTACTGTCAGGAAGTTTTTTTCTGGTGTTTAGTCAGAATCTCCTTTCTTATAACTTGAATCCATTTGTTCGAGTCAGAACAGGAGAAATCAAGCTTGCTCCATCTTCAACATGACATCCATTTAGATATTTGAAGACAGCTGTCATATCTGCTCTCAGTCTCCTCTTTTCCAAGCTAAACATACCCAGCTCCTTCAACCGTTCCTCATAAGACTTGGTTTCCAGACCCCTGACCATCTTGGTTGCCCTCTTCTGCACACATTCCAGCTTGTCAACATCCTTCTTAAACTGTGGCGCCCAGAGCAGGACACAACACTCGGGGTGTGGTCTGTCCAAGGCAGAATACAGCGGTGATACTACTTCTCTTGATTGGGACCCTAAGCTTCTGTTGATACAGCATAAAATAGCAATGGCCTTCTTTTGCTGCCACATCACGCTGTTGAGTCATGTTAAGCTTGTGATCCACTAAGACCCCTAGATTCTTTTCACACTCTACTACTTCTGTTGAAGCACCCTTGTGCCTTCCCCTTGTGCCACTAAATGACATCTCCATGTACGCCATGTACCCATGAATTAAAGCCACCCTACACCCTTTGACACCCCCAGTTTGACTTGAATCCCCCTGTGCTGACTGTGAAAGCAAACTCAACTGTGCAGGGACAGGTGGCAAATGTGGCAAATCTCACATCTGGCCTGGCCTTAGGCTTGCTCTCTGCTTGGATGCAGATATGCAGGCAATTCTCCCCCTGCTCCATTCAGAGCTGTTTGAGAGTCTAAACTTTGACTCCTGCCCCTGTACTCTTCTGCAAGCTTGAAGTCCAGTCTGGCCCACAGACTCCATTTGGAACAAGATAGAGAAATCCTTTTAGTCTCAAAAATACATTTCTGGGTGGAAGGTATCTTAACATTTCTCCAGCCGTCTCCCATTCCTCACCATAAACATTCAGAACATAAGAGCCCTGGTAGATCACATCCAAAGTACATCTAGCCCAGCATTCTGTTCTTGCTGTGGCCAACACAGGAGCCAACTCCTAGGGGCTGTGGGGGCTTGAGCCGCCCAATAAAATATTTCAGGGAGCCTGGCCCCCACAAAGTTGATGGGCATTCCCATTCAAATAGTGTGTGTGCACTGCATCATATGGTCGATTTATGCGGGGCGGGGCTTACCTGGGCCCCACAATCTTTTAGTCAAGTTGGCACCCCCAGTGGCCAACCAGATGCCTCTGGGAAGCTTGCGGAAGCAAGACCTGAGGGCAATAGTGCTCTCCTCACTTGCAGTTCCTAGCATGTGAGGCAGAACCTAGCCATCATGGCTAGGTAAAGGTAAAGGGACCCCTGACCATTAGGTCCAGTCATGACCAACTCTGGGGTTGCGGCGCTCATCTCGCTTTATTGGCCGAGGGAGCCGGCGTACAGCTTCCAGGTCATGTGGCCAGCATGACTAAGCCGCTCTGGCGAACCAGAGCAGCACACGGAAACGCCGTTTACCTTCCCGCCGGAGCGGTACCTATTTATCTACTTGCACTTTGACGTGCTTTCGAACTGCTAGGTTGGCAGGAGCTGGGACCGAGCAATGGGAGCTCACCCCATCGTGGGGATTCGAACCGCCAACCTTCTGATTGGCAAGTCCTACGCTCTGTGGTTTAACCCACAGCGCCACCCGCATCCCTTACCCACACCCCATCATGGCTAGTAGTCATGAATAGCCTTCTCTTCTGTGAATGAGTCTGATCCTGTTTAAAATCTGACCAGGTTGGTGGCCATCACTGCATATTGTTAGGTGATTAACATAGTTTTAACCATGTGCTGTGTGAACATAGGAAACTGCCCTATACTAAGGCAGATCCTCAGTCCGTCTAGTTGAGTACTGTCTACACTAACTCGGCAGGATTCAGGTATGATTCTCTCCCAGCCCTACCTGGAAATGCTGGGGAATGAACCTGGGACTTTCTGTATGCAAGCAGATGCTCCACTGCTGAACCATTGTCCTTCCTTGGACTTCTGTCTCTGCTGTAATTTCTCTCCTCGCATGAATACCCCACCCCAAAAATCTATCTGTGTGTTTGTAAGAAGAAAAGGGTGTGATGCCAATCTATCCCTCGCAAACTCGGAGGGAGATGGAGCTCATCACTGCAAGGATAAGTGTGTGGATGGAGCAAAGCACTGAAAATCCAGAGAGGGAGGATATCAATAAAGCCAGGTTTTAAAATACAGATAGATGGACTGAGGAATCCCACCGGGATACCATCCTAATAGTCACTTACATGACAACAGTAACCATAGAAACCAATTCCTCCATCCTAATGGCTGTGCTCTGATCTCCTTTTCAGACTTCAGAGAAAGATGAGGGAGAATGAACATCATTTTGAAGTCAAGAGATATTCTTGAACACTTTGATGTCTAGCTCCGCTTCTACGTACCAGTAGGATGACCTTGACTATCCCTGCTTAGCTCCTCTAGGAAAGTCAGTTCAAGGTGAGTTGGTTTGATGGAAAGCAAACCCATAAATGCTTCACGGAGGATTGTGCTTTTTTAACTGCAATGGCAGAGTCAAATCAACATTGAGAGGGGGAGAAACCTCTAAGTCAGTTAGCCTATATAGCCTAACAATTAGTTTTTGACAGCAATCACATTCAGACACTTTGAGACATTTTAACAGCACAAAGCACTCACAGAGTAGCCTTCGTTTGCAATTCATTCTTGGTTTCTGGCTGACTAAGAAAATAAGGAATCCACAACACCCTTAGCATTCAAATAATTTCTAGGTTACTGGAGCAGCCTTTGCCAATCTGGAGTTGTTTGGAGACCCCCTATCCCCCTCGGAGCAACAATTCCCAGAATTCACTGGGAAGTCAGATAAACTGTTAAACCCCTCTGGGATTTGTAGCCCTGTGAGGGGAATAGGGGTCCCTTCACAACTCTCAGTGCACCCTCAACAAACTACAGTTCCCAGGAAGACATGACGGTTTAATATTGTATGGCATGATACTGTATTGGTATGATATTGCATTGAATGTACAGTGCAGATGGGGACAAAATCAATTCAAATCCAAAACAGATTCCAGCTGGGATAAATATTTTAGAAGGCTTGTTGGAAAAGGAACATCTTTAGCAGGCATCAAAAATGCAATGGAGAAGGCACCTATCTGATATGCAGTGGGAAGGAATTCCAAAGGGTAGGTGTCACCACACTAAAAGCCTGATTCTGACATTGGGCAGAACAGGCCTCCTGATAGATCCCAACTCCATTCAACCATGGTGGTTACAAGAGATGGTGGTCTCCCCCTGGACTGCTGCAATCTCCTTTACCCCACAAGCTGCACCATAGAAGCAAAGGGCTCTTATCAAATTTGCATGTGATGATGAACTACATGCAGGCTGCATGCTAATTCCTACACAGGCATCTCTTAACATGCAAAGCATGTCTTTCACTATGGGACCCTGAGCGGTAAGAGCTTAGTGACAGAAGACATGTTTTGCATAAACAAACGCAGCAGTTTAAACCCTAAGTATTTCGTTTTATTAATTTATCTACAACACTTTTTGACCACCCCAATCAAGAAAGATGTCTGGACCACCCAGTCAACAAAGTTCCTAATCAGTTCAATTTCCTGCCTAAAACCCAGAACAAGTAGCAAAATAAGGTTTAAAACCCAGCAGAAATAATCTGTTCCAAGGGCAAAAATGGAAAAGGTTTAGGAAAATTGAAAGGTATTCATCTGAAAGGATTTTAATGTAGGCACCAGTTGAGCTTTGCGCAGGAGGGTATTTTGTCACTACAAAAAAGGTTCTCTCCTTTGCAACCCCCCACCTTGCCTCTTTAGGTGTGAGGACCTCTAATGACGCTCTCAAGGTCCAGCCAGTTATATCTGGGATGATCTTTCAGGTAACCTGATTATCTCTCCAGTTGAAAGCTCTGAGACAGCCCGGCTAAGAATGCCGTGTTTGATTCAGTGCTAGTCAGAGCATGGTACTGCTTTGAGCAGAGCAATGATCTGGCTCAGTATAAAGGTAGCTCTTTATTAGAGGAACAGGACACAGCTTGGCGATGCACCAGATGATGCTCAATGATGCAAACCAACTGCCGGCTCCCAAACTTATTCTGGATCACTGCAGGGCTGCTACTAAAAATATCCTCACAAATAGATAGGTGTAACATGATGGCCACAAGTGGCGCTCACACCCTCCTCCGCTGAGAACAGGGGAATCTCACACCATCTCGGGATGAACTTAGAATAGAATGAAAATAATTAACATTTGGGCAGCACAGTTGTGCAGCTAAGGTCTGAACAGAACAAGACAATGAGAAACATCACCTCTGCGAGACATGCAGGCAGCAGAGTGCCACTCGATAGCATTGGTGCTGTCTTTTGAACAAGAAAGAGTAAAATATAGGATCTACCACCATGGTGGGCTACTTGTGGTCCTTCCAGATGTTGTTGGACTCCAACTCCCATCAGCCCCAGCCAGCATGGCCAATGCTCAGGGATGAAAGGAGTTGTAGTTAAGCAATGTCTGGGGCCACTCAAGAGTCCAATGTTGCATACATCATTGGGGTGAATCAGGGGAAGGGTCTAGCAGCACGTTCTGTGGAACTACCCATATAGCAGGGTTACCAGACGTCCCCATTTCCCAGGAGAGTCCCCGGAATTGCAAATAAGTCCCTGGACAAATTCCATCCCCGTAATGTCCCCGGATTTCATCTAATGTCCCTGGGAAATGCAACAGCAGCAGTCTCAGCAGCCTGGAGCAGTTGGCTCTGGCTGGCTTCAGGAGCTGCTCGGAAGTCCCCATATGATGGTGGTGCAGGGGCTCTAAGTTGCAGCTTCTGGGTTGCCTCCACCTTCACTGACCCTAGCAACTAAGCTGTGAAGGGTGGCTACATGCTGCCTATTGGAGCAGCCTCCCAACTCCTACTTGCATGCAAGCAGGAACGGTGTGGGGATCTCTCAGCTGTGAAGGGAGGCTTCACGCTGCCTATCAGAGCTTGCGTGCAAGCAGGAGGGGGCAGGGATCTCTCAGTTAGGCAACGGGAAGCCTCCCTTCCCAGCTGAGGGATCCCCATCCCCTCCCAATGGGAAGGGAGGCATCACGCTGCCTGAGAGATCCCTGCCCCCTCCTGCTTGCATGCGAGTAGGAGTTGGGATGGGGCTGCTCCGAAAGGCAGTGTGAAGCCTCACTTCCCAGCTGAGGGATCCCCGCCCCCTCCTGCTTGCACTCAAGTAGGAATGGGATTGGGGCTGCTCCGATGGGAAGGGAGGCATCACACTGCCCGAGCCTCGCTGCCGCCGCCACCACTCTCAGCCCTCCTTGTCTGCCTTCCATGCCTGACCCACCGTGCACCGCTTCCCCACCACCACCAAAGAACCAACAACTCAGGGGCTGTCCAGGCTCATGGAGAAAGGAGATAGAAGCCTCAGAGGAAGAGGAAACGTGGCAGTTGAGGTCAAGGCGGTGGCCGCCCCTCTGCCCCTCTGCCACTGCCATTGCTGCAGCATCAACGTCCCGAACATGTAGTAATTACTTACTTACTTACTTAATTAATTAATTAATTAATTAACGTGTCCCTGGATTCATTGAAAAAAATCTGGTAAGCTTACCATATAGCTCAGCTTGAAGCAGGGTTGAATACCACACACAAAGGCCTCCTTGGGGCAAGGGTTCAAGGGTTCAAGTCCCCCTGAGAGCAAAACCCATTTAAGGGGCAGAGGGAAGCTTGGTGAAGTCAGTGGTAAAACTTCCATGAAAAAGTTCCCTGGTTCAAGTCATCTAAATCCTGGCAGCTCCAGATAAAGGCTGGGACAGGCTCTGGTTCGAGACTCTGGAAAGCTGCTGCTACAGACCAGCCTTCCCCAACCATATGTTTTAGACTGCAAATCCCCTCATCCTTGACCACTGGCTATGCTGGCTGGGGCTGATGGGAGCTGTGGTCCAAAACATCAGCTTGAAGAAGACCAGTAAAGATAATATATAGCTGGACCAATGCTCTAACTGGGCTTAAAGCAGTTTCCTCTGCTGTTCCTGTGGGACACTCATAAGGCAACAGATTCAACAAAAAGAAATGTCTGCTAATCTTAACACTTTTCTGATGAGGTAATAACTTTCACTACAAGACACCCAGAACCAGCTAATTGGAACAGGACATGCAGATAACTGTGGACTATACAAGCTGTTTGCAGTATTTTCAGGTACAAATCATATTAAAATCTGCTGGGGGGAAATGTCCATATGGTAAAAATTAGTCTGCAACGAGTGTGCTTTAGGGGAAAATATATATCTTCTATGGCATGTTGAATTAAAAAAAAAAAAAGTTAGGCAAATCCTAAGTTGGTATATAATACAATGGATATAAATAGATAAAATTGGCTTTATACACTCCCAAATTTATCAGGATTTATACACACACACACACACAACCCTATAAAATGCTGGTCACATGCCTGTTAACACCACATTATTTCCAAACTTGCTCTGTTCTCTCTCCTGGGAGGAGATGTGAAGAAGTCATCCACTGCCCCCATGGCGTTAAAGTGAGATGAGGAATGACAAATGAGCAACCTGACTGTTGGCACAAATTGCATCAGACCGGCTCTGAGATTTATTCTCGGCTCCGAGGTTGGAATATAAGATTGCCATGAACAATTCATTTCCCCAAGGATCTAGTTCTCTGGGAGTGTTTTAAAATAAAATAAAAATCTCCCTGCCCAACCCTTTACAGTCAAGTCGCAGCTTTCAAATACACAGAGTTTTGCTACTTGGACTTATTCATAGAGAAATAGTAGAATTCGTTTTATTTTGAAGGTTTACCTTTCCTTTTTATTTATTTCTGGTAAATAACATTATTAGGGCCCAAAGCATACAAAAAACTATGCCCAAACATTATAGCCCCTGAGGCTGCACTTGGCTCAGTATTCTGTCTGTTCTGGCAGGCTGTGGCTCTCTAGGGCAGAGGTGGGCAAGGGCCACATTGCCTCATAGGAACCTTCTGAGGGCCATATGCCAGTGACAGGCAGGCAAAAGTGGTTGGCGAAACCTACGGGACTTTCATCTTTGTACAGTAAATAGGTGTTTCTCATCCAAGCATAGGCAAACGCTGGCCCTCCAGATGTTTGGGACGACAATTCCCATCATCCCTGACCACTGGTCCTGTTAGCTAGGGATGATGGGAATTGTAGTCCCAAACATCTGGAGGGCCAGCGTTTGCCTATGCCTGTTCTAATCCAACAATGTCTGGAGGGTCACAGGTTCCCCTTGCTACATGAACCCTTTGCTCATCCAGCAGGGCTCATTTTGTGAAAGCTCATGTTTGAAAGTAAACTGGAGACCTGAACACATTAGCAACCCGTTCCATCACTTTCTGGTTGATGCGAAACTTCTGAGCAATGACAGAAACGACATAGTGTTGATTATTGCATTCATTACCCACCCATGCATTCATTTCAGATGGAAGTCGGGCAAATCAGCCCTCGCAATCTCACGCTGCCAATTGCTCTCAAAATTAGCCTATGCCGTGACTGTTAAACAAAACTTGCAAGGGCAAACGCTTAACTGTGCAGGCATTGAACTCTGGGATGATGTGTTTGCTCATAGCCGGCAATATGATGCTCTTGGCAGAGCGTGCTCATCTCAGACAATTGGAGTCCTTGTCCAAGAGAAGAGACGGCTTCCGCCACCGTAAGCCACCAACATGGCGGACAAAGGGCTCCTTTGAACCGACAGCACAATGCTGTAGATTTCACCACACTTCAGTGAAACATATCAAAGCGTTCAGACAAAGAAATACTGGGAGATCCATTTCTTTAATGTACGTATGAGTAATACCCAGCAAGCTGGAGCGACTCCAATGTTCTAAGCAGAGGCAAAGAATTTGCTTTTCCATTAGGACATTTTGTTATAACAAAGCATGACTAACATGGTCGCATTGCTTTACTGTTCCGTATATTTAGCCAAAGGTCGACAAATACACCTGACAGTTCGCCACTAGCGAGTACATCTTTTAACCTGGCGATTATAACATCAGGGAGAAGCTATCAGCCCACATTCGCTAGACTTGAGCAGGGTGTGATGGTGTGAAGGAACTAGATTCTTATGAGGTAAAATGGGTATGTTAGGAATGCTGTTATGATATGAAAACTGGTATGAAAATGGTTAACTATGGGAAGAAGGGGGGGCTAGTATTTTACTCCAGGATAAAGCCAGAAAATATACAGTTCATGTGGGTTTATCCGGTAGTCTGCCAAGAACCACCAGATGAGGCTGTTACAGTTTCAAAGGAGGTCTCTTGGTTAATAACTTGCCAGCTATTGCCAGTTATTTACAGTTATAGGAGTTAACAGCAAAATCCAGCTTTTTTTATGGGTCAGGAGAATTCAAAAGGGCTTACTGAATGGTGATTCGTCCTTCAGTGGACATTCTATTCAAAATGTACTGGTACTCAGTTACAGGCCAATGAGGGTTTAGAGCTCCAGGGAGATCCTGATTGGTCAAAGGATTCTAACTGGGATGAATATAAAGGTGGGCACAGGACCGATTGCTGGTAGTTCTGGGAGGTTAGTTGGGGATGAGGGTTGAAAAGAAAGGGAAGGCAAGCTGAGGAAAGACAACCAGTCAGGAGGAGGAGTCTCAACAGGCAGTTATCCAGGATAGCTTTTGGCCAGAGTGAGAGCAGCTGACATTAGGTCACTGGAAGACTTCAGAGGAGGCAACTGTGATATCTTTGTGGCTGAGTGATGGTCTTCAAGTACCTGATCAGAAAGAAGACTTCAGTGGAAAGCTGAAGGAAGTCTGCCAAGGGGAAGGCAGCAATCTTAAGAGGAGGATTCTGGTGTGAGTGACAGCCAAAAAACTCCTAGTGAGGTTCTCCAAGTTCCTGTCAGTTAACTAGGAGATGAGATAAGGGGGAACTAGCTTTGCATAAATATGACAACGAGGGTAAGAACTTAAAGAATTCTGGCAGGATATGGCTATCATGATGGCTCTGTTCTGCCTCCGTGGTTGGAGGAGACCGTGTGCTTCTGAATGCCAGTTGCTGGAAATCACATCCATTGCTTTCTTCTTGTGGGGTTCCTATAAACATCTAGTTGGAGAGAAGGATACAGCACTAGATAGGCATTTTGTCTATTCAAGCAAGTATATAGTTACCACTTTTGAAGCAACAGCATCAGTTTTTGAAGCCACAGTAAGTGGCTGTCTCATATTTAAAGCAACAGCGACCTATCAAAGCAATTATCAAAGCAAGTTGGTAGGTTAATAAACCCTTGCTGGACCTAGCAAGGAGGACCTCTGATAAAGACCCCTGGTCCATGTAGCTCAGTGTTGACTACAACGTTAAGCGGCCAACCTTTTCTGGCCAGAAGGCTGAATTCACTCTGGGGACTACCTGCCACCAGTCAATGTGACCACGCCACACTCTCAGATGCAGGAAACAACAACAACAACTCCTCAGAAGAGCCATACTCCTCAGATGGCCAAAGGGGACAATCTGCACACACACACCCATCAGAATGCTGAGCTGCATGGATAAGTTTAAGCTCCCCACCGCAGTGCTGTGCCAACTTTTGTTTTCTTTTCGCCAACACTGGTAAGATCGGGGAGGTGGGGAAAGAGACATTTGATGGGAGAGAGGACCTGATGTTGTCCCCAGGTCAGGTGTTAGCCACGCCTGGTCCATATTAGCTGGCAGTTACCCTCCAATGTTCCATGCAAGATACTTTTCCAGCCATACCTGGATATGCTAGGAACTGAACCTGGTCCCAGCAAAGCATGCTCAGCCTCTGAGCTTCCACAAGCAGCCAGACATGAATATATGTTTGGAGGTGGCATGCTTCAATTATTATTTGATTAACTACATTTTTATCCAGCTCGAGATGATGAAGATGGCTCACCTCCACCACCCTTAAATCCTCACAACAACCCTGGGGGGGTTGCTAGGTTAGGCTGTGAAAGAGAAAATGACCAGTCCAAAGTTACCCAGTGAGCTTCAGGGCTGAGTGGAGATTTGCATGGGGAAATTTAGCCCAGCCAACATATCATTACACTTCACCAGATCTCTAATTTACGCCTGCACAACGCAACACAGTGTTCATTAGAAACAGGCACAGCCTGCCCTCCTAAATTAAACTAATCCTTTTT